TAGAAGCCATGATGTGCGTACACTGAATACTCCATAGAAGACATGGTGTCCATACACTGAATACTCCATAGAAGCCATGGTGTCCGTACACTGAATACTCCATAGAAGCCATGGTGTCCATACACTGACTACTCCATAGAAGCCATGGTGTCCATGCACTGAATACTCCATAGAAGACATGGTGTCCATACACTGAATACTCCATAGAAGCCATGGTGTCCGTACACTGAATACTCCATAGAAGCCATGGTGTCCATACACTGACTACTTCATAGAAGCCATGGTGTTCATACACTGAATATTCCATAGAAGCCAGGGTTTCAATACACTGACTACTTCATAGAAGCCATGATGTCCATACACTGAATACTCCTTAGAACCCATGGTGTTCATACACTGAACACTCCATAGAAGCCATGGTGTCCATACACTGACTACTTAACAGAAGCCATGATGTCCATACACCGAATACTCCATAGAAGCCATGATGTCCATACACTGAATACTCCATAGAAGCCATGGTGTCCATACACTGAATACTCCATAGAAGACATGGTGTCCATACACTGACTACTTAATATAAGCCATGATGTCCATACACTGAATACTCCATAGAAGACATGGTGTCCATACACTGACTACTTAATAGAAGCCATGATATCCATACACTGAATACTCCATGGAAGCCATGGTGTCCATACACTGACTATCTAATAGAAGCCATGGAGTCCATACACTAAATACTCCATAGAAGACACTATCATTTCCATACACTGCACAGATGATGGTCAAAAAGCTGTATGCCATTTGGAATAAATGCCTCAATAATATTAGGCTATATTTGCACCAGTGGTTCTGGCCATGCATCTGACCAATGGGGTAAAAAATAATTATTTCTATGGCTCCATCCACTGTCCTAAAATGGAGGGATATGTGATAGAATGAGACACATGAGTACCTTCTGTGCTGAGAAGGTTTTACTGTGCTACACCCTGGTTTGGTCGGAGTGCTTTTTGATTCCTTTAATCTCTTTTCATTATAACCTGTATGGTTATACTGCCTTATTGGCTCCTAAGCTCTACTCCATAAAAGCCACGGTTTCTGTACACTAAATACTCCATAGACGCCATGGTGTCCATACACTAAATACTTCATAGATTCTATAGTTTCCATACACTGGACAATCCATAGAAGCCATGGTTTACATACATTAAATAATCCATAGAAACCATGGTGTCCATACACTGAATTATCCATAGAAGTCAATGGTTTCCATACACTGAATTGTCCATAGAAGCCAATGGTTTCCATACACTGAATATGCCATAGAAGCTATGGTGTCTATATACTGAATACTCCATAGAAGCCAATGGTTTCCATACACTGGATACTCCATAGATGCCATGATTTCCATACAATGGATACTCCATAGAAGCTGTGGTGTCTATATACTGAATACTCCATAGAAGTCATGGTGTCCATATACTGGACACACAACAGAAGCCATGGTGTCCATACATTGAACTCTCCATAGAAGCCACGGTTCCCATACACTGAATACTGCACAAAGGCCATGGTGTCCATACACTGGATGCACCATAGAAACCATAGTGTCCATACACTGGACACTCCATAGAAGCCATGGCCTCCATCCACTGAATACTCCATAGAAGCAGTGGTGGCCATACACTGAATACTCCATGGAAGCTATGGTGTCCATATGCTGAATACTCCATGGAAGTCAAGGTGTCCATACACTGAATACTCCATAGAAGCCATGGTGTCTATACACTGAATACTCCATAGAAGCCATGGTGTCCATACACTGAATACTCCATGGAAGTCAAGGCGTCCATACACTGAATACTCCATAGAAGCCATGGTGTCCATACACTGAATACTCCATAGAAGTCATGGTTTCCATAAACTGAACACTCCATAGAAGCCATGGTTTTCATACACTGAACACTCCATAGAAGCCATGGTTTTCATACACTGAACACTCCATAGAAGCCATGGTTTCCATACACTGGATAGACCATAGAAGCCATAGTGTCCATGCACTGAATACTCCATGGAAGCCATGGTTTCCATACACTGAATACTCCATAGAAGCCATGTTGTCCATACACTGAATACTCCAAGGAAGCCATGGTTTCCATACACTGAACACTCCATAGAAGCTATGGTTTCCAAACACTGAATACTGCTTAGAAGCCATGGTATCCATACACTGGATACTCCATAGAAACCATGGTGTCCATACACTGGATACACCATAAAGCTATAGTGTCCATACACTGAATTCTCCATAGAAGCCATGGAGGACTTACATTGAATACTCCATAGAAGCCATGGTGTCCATACATTGAATACTCCATAGAAGTCATGGTGTCCATACACTGAATATTCCATGGAAGCTATGGTTTCCATACACTGAACACTCCATAGTATCCATGGTGTCCATACACTGAATACTGCATAGAGGCCATGTCGTCTATGCACTGAATGCACCTTTGAAGCCATAGTTTCCTCACTCTGAATCCTCCATACAAGCTATCGTTTTCACACACTGTACTGATGATGGCCAAAAAGCTGTATGCCATTTGTAATAATTTCCATTATAATAACAGATCATATTTGCACCATTGGTTTTGGCAGTGCATCTGGTCAATGGTTTGTAAAGGAATGATTTGCATAGCCCCACCCACTGTTCTAAAATGAGATATAATCCTCTTATTTTTGGGGTATTAGAGAGACACGTGGTTAAGTTCTGTGTTCTGTGCTGCACTGTGCTACACATTCTACTAAAAAACAATGTGGGATTGTCCACCACGTCCTGTCCTTCAAACCCACTGCCCTCAAGAAGTAGAAACCATCCAGTAGAAATCATCCTGTAGAGTCGTGGACAGCCAAAAAAGAAACAATGTAGTCTCTAAACCAGGGGTCTCCAAACTTTTCAAACAAAGGGCCAATTTACTGTCCTTCAGACTTTTGGGGGGCCAGATTGTGGCCAGTGGGGGTAGAAAATGTCCTGGGCCCAGCATTAGTGAAAATAAACATGGCCTAGGGGTTGGTGGTCAGAAACAGGAGGAGTGGTGCTCCATCATTGGTATTAGTGTGAAGAATAATACCCCATTGTTGGTGTCAGGGCAGGAATTATGCCCCACTGTTGATGTCAGAGGAATAGTGTCCCAAGGGCCAGATAAAGGCTAGCAAAGGGCCACATTCGGCCCTCGGACCACAGTTTGGACACCACTGCTCTAAACCATTCCTGTTCTATGCCAAAGAGAACTCTCAGAACTCTTTTGGACTTTTACATAATATAAGTCAGTATAGAAGCAGATTTGGTTATCAATGTTTTGATACGATTGACCTTTGTGTTGGTTCAGCCCAAATAACAATGTCATGATATAACATGCAGGACAAAGATGTGACAAGTAGATAGCATGTTGACTTGTTTGTCACTGGGGATACCAAGGGTGCTAAGTTTAGGTTGGCCTCCCCTCCTCTGTTATAATGGAAGCTATGGATTCAGTTCAGTGTTGGGGGTTGGACACATCTAATTATTTCATTCTTTTTTGCTGGCGCAGTCAGTTAACTGTGGGTGTTGTTGAGTGTGCAGAGCTCCCTTAATCCTTTAATGAAGAGTTTGTCATCCAGATGTTGGATAGTAGGGAGGACGGAGAGAAAGAAGACTAACAGGTCAGGCGGGATTGTTGTTGTTATTTCGTGATAGAACACGGGTTTTTTTTGTTGTGCAGCTTAGAGCGAAAACAAGACAGTTACTTTAAGTGGAAACCCTCCTACACACCCAGTAGTGGATCAGTGACTTCTTGTCTATATATATATATACAGTGCATCCAGAAATATTCACAGCGCTTAACTTTTGACACATTTTGTAATGTTACAGCCGTATTCCAAGATGGATTAAATTTTTTCCCCAACATTCTACAAACAATACCCCATAATGACAACAACAAAGAAGTTCATTTTAAAATCTTTGCACTTTATTAAAAATAAAAAATTAAAAGAAAAACCCCATGTACAGTTGTGTTCAAAATAATAGCAGTCAGACATCACTAACCGGATCAATCACTGTTTTTGGTGGAAATGATATTTCTACATGGCAAATAATTTCCTATCAGGTATAGTAGAGTAATAGAAATCCAACAGACCCAACAGTCATGACATGCATGCTGCTGATTCTGTGTCATTGAATCACTCATTGAAAGGGGCGTGTTCAAAATAATAGCCGTGTGGCGTTCTATTAGTGAGGTCATTCATTCTTTGATAAACAGGTGGCAATTATTTCCCTTATTTAAGCACTTGCCTACCAGGCACTTATACCCCCTTCCTTACCAGGCCAATTTTCAGCTTTCAGCACTGCTGCATTTTGATTGACAATTGCGCGGTCATGCAACATTGTACCCATATGAAATTTTGATCATTTTTTTCTCACAAATAGAGCTTTCTTTTGGTGGTATTTAATCGCCACTGGGCACTTTACTTTTTGCGCTAAAAATAAAAAAAGTGTAAAAAAAAAAAAAAAAAGTTTCTTTGTTTCTATTATAAAATTCTTCAAACAGGTATTTTTTCTCCTTCACTGATGTGCGTTGATGAGACGGCACTGATGGGCACTGATAGGCGGCACTGATGGGCACTGATAGGCAGCACTAAAGGGCACTGATAGGCAGTACTAATGAGGTGGCACGGATAGGCGGCACTGATAGGCAGTACTAATGAGGTGGCATGGATAGGCGGCACTAATATGCAGCACTGATAGGCGGCACTGATAGGTGACACTGATGATGGGTACTGATAGACGGCACTGACTGAAATCACTGCTGGGCACTGACTGGCGGCACTGACTGGCACAACCCCTGGGCACTGACTGGTGGCACTGACTGGCAGCACTGCTGGGCTGCACTGGTGGGTGGCACTGGTGGGCAGCACTGGTGGGTTGGCACAGGTGGGTGGCACTGATGGGCACAGGTGGGTGGGCACAGGTGGGTGGCACTGCTGGGCACAGGTGGGTGGCACTGCTGGGCACAGGTAGGTGGCACTTCTGGGCACAGGTAGGTGGCACTGCAGAGTGGCACAGGTGGGTGCACTGCTGGGCACAGGTGGGTGCACTGCTGGGCACAGGTGGGCGGAGCTAGTGGGCGCACTGCTGGGCACAGGGGGCGGAACTTGCGGGTGGCACTGCTGGGCACCGATCATCAGGGCACTGATCATCAGTGCCCTGATGATCGGTGCCGATCCCCGCTCTGACAACTGCCGGTTCTCGGCAGTACTTTCCTCACGATCTGACAGCGTGAGGAAAGTGCAGCCGAGAACCGGCACTTGCATTTCCTTCTGATCAGCGTGTCATTGGACACCGCTGATCACGTGGTAAAAGGCCGCTGTGATTGGCCTTTTACCACATCACATGATCAGCTGTGTCCGTAGGACACAGCGATCACGGAGATCGCCGGGTGCGCGCCCCCTGGGGCGCGCAGGAGAGCGCGTGCTGGGAGGACGTCATATGACGTCCACTCAGAACTGGCTGGCCGCAGTGCAGCCGTCATTCGGCTAACTGCGGTCGGCAGCTAGTAAAGGAAGGAAGGCAGCAAATGTTGGACATGCTGGTTACAGTGCATTTCCCTCTGAAATTCTGAGGAAAATGGGTCATTCCAGACATTGTTCAGAAGAACAGCGTACCTTGATTAAAAAGTTGATTGGAGGGGAAAACATATAAAGAAGTGCAGAAAATGATCGGCTGCTCAGCTAAAATGATGGCAAATGCTTTAAAATGGCAACCAAAACCTGAAAGACGTGGAAGAAAGCGAAAAACTACCATTGGAATGGATAGAAGAATAGCCAAAATGGCGCGGACTCAGCCAACAATCAGCTCCAGGAAGATGAAAGAAGGTGTGACGTTCCCTGTGAGGACTGTTACAATTAGAAGACGCCGATGTGAAGCCAAGCTATCTGCAAGAAGTCCCCGCAAAGTCCCAATGTTGGAAAAAAGACGTGTGCTGAAGAGGTTACAATCTGCCAAAGAGCACATTGACCGGCCTAAAGAGAAATGGTGCAACATTTTGTGGACTGATGAAAGTAAGATTGTTCTTTTTGGGTCTAGTGGGCGGAGACAGTTTGTCAGACGACCCCCAAACACTAAATTCAAGCCACAGTACACTGTGAAGACAGTGAAGCATGGTGGTGCAAGCATCATGATATGGGGATGTTTCTCATATTACGGTGTTGGGCCTATTTATCGCATACCAGGGATCATGGATCAGTTTGAATACATCAGAATACTTGAAGAGGTCATGCTGCCTTATGCTGAAGAGGAAATGCCCTTGAAATGGGTGTTCCAACAAGACAACGACCCCAAACACACCAGTAAACGGGCAACACCTTGGTTCCAGACCAACAAGATGGACGTTATGGATTGGCCAGCCCAATCCCCGGATCTTATCCAACAGAAAACTTGTGGGGTGACATCAAAAATGCAGTTTCTGAGGCAACACCAAGAAATAGAGAAGAACTGTGGAATGTGGTCCAATCATCCTGGGCTGGAATACCTGATCACAGGGGCCAGAAGTTGGGTGACTCCATGCAACACAGATGTACAGCAGTTCTCAGAAACAGTGCGACTACAACCAAATATTCATGAAGTCATTCAAAGGAAAGAAAAATCTTCAAACATTTCTCAGTTTATATAGTGAATGTTGGAGTTTGTAAAGAAGAATACAAACACGGCCATTTTTTTGAACCGTCTAATATTCACTTTTCTTCCATTTTTTTAGAGGAACAACACAAATTTGATGTATTTTTCTTCATGTTGTGATTTGGAATAGAATGTGTCGTGTTCCCAATGCATTTGTGTGGATGGAAATAAAAGCTATTAGAAGGATTTTCAGCTTTATTCACTTTTTTCAGCACACTGCTATTATATTGAACACAACTGTACATAAGTATTCACAGCCTTTGCCATGACACTCAAAATTGAGCTCTAGTGCATCCTGTTTCCACTGATCATCCTTGAGATGTTTCAACAACTTGATTGGAGTCCACCTGTGGGACATTCAGTTGATTGGACATGATTAGGAAAGGCATAAACCTGTCTATAGAAGGTCCCACAGGTAACAGTGCATGTCTGAGCACAAACCAAGCCATGAAGTCCAAGGAATTGTCCGTAGACCTCCGAGACAGGATTGTATCAAGGCACAGATCTGGGGAAGGGTACAGAAACATTTCTGCAGCATTGAAGGTCCCAATGAGCACAGTGGCCTCCATCATCCAGAAATGGCAGAAGTTTAGAGCCACCAGGAATCTTCCTAGAGCAGGCCGCCCGGCCACAGTGAGCGATCGAGGGAGAAGGGCCTTAGCCAGGGAGGTAACCAAGCACCAGATGGTCACTCTGAAAGAGCTCCAGCATTTCTCTGTGGAGAGAGGAGAACCTTCCAGAAGAACAGCCATCTCTGCAGCACTCCACCAATCAGGCCTGTATTGTAGAGTGGCCAGATGGAAGCCACTCCTCAGTAAAAGACATGGCAGCCCACCTGGAGTTTGCCAAAAGGCACCTGAGGGACTCTCAGACCATGAGAAACAAAACTCTCTGGTCTGATGAAACAAAGATTGAACTCTTTGGCCCGAATGCCAAGCGACATGTCTGGAGGAAACTAGGCACCGCTCACCACCTGGTGAATACCATCCCTACAGTGAAGCATGGTGGTGGCAGCATCATGCTGTGGGGATGTTTTTCAGCGGTAGGAACTGGGAGACTAGTCAGAATGGAAGGAAAGATGAATGCATCAATGTACAGAGACATCCGTGATGAAAACCTGTTCCAGAGCGCTCTGGACCTTAGACTGGAGCAACGGTTCATCTTTCAACAGGACAACGATCCTAAGCACACAGCCCACAAAACAAAGGAGTGGCTATGGGCCAACTCTGTGAATGTCCTGGAGTGGCCCAGCCAGAGCCCAGATTTGAACCCGATTGAACATCTCTGGAGAGATCTGAAAATGGCTGTGCACCGACGCTCCCCATCCAACCTGATGGAGCTTGAGAGGTCCTGCAAAGAAGAATGGGAGAAATCGCCCCAAAATAGGTGTCCAAGCTTGTAGCATCATACTCAAAATGACTCGAGGCTGAAATTGGTGTGAAAGGGGCTTCAACAAAGTATTGAGCAAAGGCTGTGAATACTTATGTACATGTGTTTTTTTTTTTCATTTTTTATTTTTAATAAATTGCAAAGATTTCAAAACTAATTTCTTTTGCGTTGTCATTATGGGTAGAGATGAGCGAATCGAACCAGGCGAAGTGGAATTCGATTCGAATTTCAGGAAAAATTTTTCCCGATCAGCCGGCAAAAGTGTCCCTGCAGAGAGCTCCGCTATTTCTGACAGTTCTCTGACAGTTCCTTCACATGTACAGCGGTTGAAACATTGTATCTATTTGTTTCCATTTAGGATACAGATGTTTTTATTCGGAAACAGATACAATGTTTCAACGCTGTAAATGTGAAAGTCAGAGAACTGTCAGAAATAGAGGAGCTCTGCAGATACACTTTTTGCCGGTTTGGAATTATTCTTATTTTCATCCTACTTCTTCTTCTTCTTCTTCATCCTCATCCTCAGAAGAAGAAGAAGAGGATGAGGATGAGGATGAAGAAGAAGAAGAAGAAGAAGAAGAAGAAGTAGGATGAAAATAAGAAGAATTCCAAGCCGGCAAAAAGTGTATCTGCAGAGTCCTCTAAGTGTATCTGCAGAATAGAGGAGCTCTGCAGATACACTTTTTGCCGGCTTGGAATTCTTCTTATTTTCATCCTACTTCTTCTTCTTCTTCTTCTTCTCTTCATCCTCATCCTCTTCTTCTTCTTCTGAGAAGATGAGGATGAAGAAGAAGAAGAAGTAGGATGAAAATAAGAAGAATTCCAAGCCGGCAAAAAGTGTATCTGCAGAGCTCCTCTATTCTGCAGATACACTTAGAGGAGCTCTGCAGATATCTGACAGTTCTGTGACATTCCCTCCATACAGTGGTTGAAACGTTGTATCTATTTGTTTCCTTCTCCTTCTTCTCATCCTTCTCCTTCTCCTTCTTCTCATCCTTCTCCTTCTCCTTCTTCTCATCCTTCTTCTCATCCTTCTCCTTCTTCTCATCCTTCTCCTTCTTCTCATCCTTCTCCTTCTCCTTCTTCTCATCCTTCTCCTTCTCCTTCTTCTCATCCTTCTCCTTCTCCTTTTCCTTCCTCATCTCCAAGGGCATTTAAATTAAAGGTACAGTGTTCTGCACTAATTTAAAGGCTCTCTGAAGCCTAGAAACCCTTTTAATAAGTTAAATTCGTAGCGAATTAATTCGCATCGAATCGAATTTCTTCCTCAAATTCGGCGAATCAGCCGAATCGAATTTTTGAATAATTCGCTCATCTCTAATTATGGGGTATTGTTTGTAGAATGTGGAGGAAAAAAAATAATTGAATCCATTTTGGAATAAAGCTGTAACATAACAAAATGTGGCAAAAGTTAAGCGCTGGGAATACTTTCTTGATGCACTGTGTATACACTATATTGCTAAAAGTATTGGGCTAGCACTCCAAATCATTGGATTCAAGTATTCCAATCCCCTCCATGGACACAGGTGTATAAAAATCAAGTCCCTAGGCATGCAGACTGCTTCTATAAACATTTGTGAAAGAATGGGTCGCTCTCAGGAGCTCAGTGACTCCAAGTGTGGTACCATGATAGGTGGCCACCTGTGCAATAAGTTCATCTGTGCCATTTTCTTGGACGTGTCTGGGTTTGGCGCTTGCCAGGAGAACGGTACTTTCCTGACTGCATTGTGCCAAGTGTAAACTTTGATGAAGCAGGGGTTATGGTGTGGGGGTTGTCTTTCAGGGGTTGGGCTTGGCCCCCTAGTTCCAGTGAAGGGAACTCTTAAGGCATCAGCATACCAAGACATTTTGGACAATTTCATTCTGCCAACTTTGTGGGAAGAGTTTGGGGATGGCCCTTCCTGTTCCAACATGACTGCGCACCAGTGCACAAAGCAAGGTCCATAAAGACATGGAGGAGCCAGTTTGGGGTGGAGGAACTTGACTGGCCTGCACAGAGTCCTGACCTCAACCCCATAGAATACCTTTGGGATGAATTAGTGCGGAGACTGCGAGCCAGGCCTCCTCCCCCGACATCAGTGCCTGACCTGACAAATGTGCTTCTGGAAGAATGGTCAAACCTTCCCATAGACACCCTCCTAAACCTTGTGAACAGCCTTTCCATTTCATTTGAAGCTGTTATAGCTGCAACTAAATATTGAACCCTATGGACTAAGACTGGGAGGCCATTAAAGTTCATGTGCGTG